TGTGTGTGTGTGTGTGTGTGTGTGTGTGTGTGTGTGTAGATGTGAACGAGTGTTTGCAGTCTCCAGCTGTGTGTTCAGTAGGAGAGTGTGTGAACAGCATTGGAAGCTACAGATGTGTGTGTCCATCTGGATACAGAAGCAACAGCCAGCAGACCAGTTGCCAAGGTGACGGCCACTTCCTGTCTGTTTTAAAGCGTTTTCATGTTTGTTTTCCTGCCCGTTGACAGCCGTGAGACGCTTCAGCACGTCTGCACAGTCTGGACCTTTAAGATCACAACATAAGCACGAGTTATGTAACCACATCACGGAAAATATGACTGAAAAACATGATGGCAGAAAATAAAACTCTGGAACCTTTTTATTGAAATGTTGGAAAAACTGGCATAAATCAGAACATGTTAGTAAAGGTTTGTTTGGCTCCTCAGACATCGACGAGTGCCGGCAGAATCCCTGTGTTAACGGTCGCTGTGACAACACGGCGGGCAGCTACAGGTGCATCTGTCGGCTTGGTTACAGGCTCGTTGGCAACACCTGCACAGGTGAAGGGCCGCCATGGCTCAGCTTAATTCATTTCTATTTTAGAGATGACTTCCAGACAGCCTCACACGGTTCAGAAAAGCTGCACTCTCACGTTAAACGTGTGCAGACTGCTCTAAACACTCAGTTTACAGGAGTTTTTTCAACTCGTGGGTTTGTATGATGTCATAGAGAGTCAGTCAGCCAATCAGAAGACAGCTGGCCTTAATCATCTGTCTAAAACTGACTGATAAATCTGCTATAAATGACATCACTGATGTGTGTGTGTGTCAGATGTGGATGAGTGTGCTGACCCTCTGCAGTGTCCGGGTCAGGAGTGTGTGAACGCTCCGGGCTCGTACCGCTGTGTTTCCTGCCCGCCGGGACACGGACTGCTCAACAACGTCTGCAGAGGTAAACAAATATGTTATAATATATTAATAATTATTTTCATTTAAATAGTTCAATGAAAACATCTAGTTGATTTTTTTCATTAGAAAATACAATTTTACAAATAGCAGTGTAGTTGAAAAATATCAGAAAAGAATTCTTAGTAAACTCTATAAAAACGTCTCAGCTGCTGTTTCATTCAGACGCTGTCGTCCTGCCGTTCAGCTATTATGGTTATAAACTATTACAAAGCCTTTAAGCATTAATATTCATATTTTCCCAAACTGAATAGATATTAGTAAATATGTTACTTATACTTGTGAAAATGACAAGATTTCTGTAAATATATTCATATAAAAGTCAAAATGTGAAAAGATAAATATAGAATAAAATCTAAATTAAATAAAGTATCAGTAAAATAATAGTGCATCAGAATGTTTTTGTTTTGTGTGATAGATGCTGCTGAGCTCTAATAAAAATAAAAAAGATTTGAAAATGTTTGTAAACTATGGAAGTATCCCAAAAATTTAAAAACAATACTAACATGTAATTAAGAAGGTAGAGCGGTCGCCCCATGATCAGAAGGTCGTGGGTTCAAATCCACCGAACGGCTATCCTGAGGTACCCCTGAGCGAGGTACACACTGCTCCCGGGCGCTGGGCGAATGGGTTAAATGCAGGACTACAGACGACGCCCACGTGTTTAAAAAACAGCATATTTGAACCTTGTTTCTCTGTTTGTAATTGTTTTGTTCTTTTTTATTAAAAAATGGATCCTGAACTGTCAGTGACTGAAAAACCAAAAACCTTTCCTTCCTCCTGAAACTCGCTGACGTTCCCGTTTGTTTACGTTTCCTCTTTCTCGCTGTGCCTTCAGACGTCGACGAGTGTCGTCAGAATCCCTGCTCCAACGGCCGCTGTGAAAACACGCCGGGGAGCTACCGCTGTGTCTGTCACCATGGTTACAAGCCCCAGAACAACACCTGCACAGGTACACATCACAGATAGTTAGTGATGTAAATGTAAATTAGTTTGTTTGTATGACGTCACTCTGTGTGTGTGTGTGTGTGTGTGTGTGTGTGTGTGTGTGTGTGTGTGTGTGTGTGTGTGTGTGTGCAGACGTGGATGAGTGTGCGGAGCCATCTCAGTGTCCTGGGCAGATGTGTGTGAACTCTGTGGGCTCGTACAGATGTGTTTCCTGCAGAGCAGGATTCAGACTGACCGACAGACAGTGCACAGGTACACACACACACACTCGTTTTCATATCGTAGTGAGGACATCTCCTTGCCGTGCTTTCCCTAACCCTCAGCCTAACCTGACTGTAACCCTGACACTAAAACCACAATTAGATTCTTAAAAGTGTCATAAAATTCGTGGGGACTTTGTCCCTGTAAGGGCTGTTGGTCCCCACAAGTATAGTTTCTGTCCTCACAAAGATGTCTAAACACACACACACACACACACACACACACACACACA